CCACGTGTTGAACGACCAATAAAAGAGGGCTAGAAAGAGTCCTATAGGAAGTCTCAACTCCCCAATCCCCCAGGGTGAGGGGTGAACCTTTTGTCTGATTCAATCTCATCTATTTTGCTTTCGACCGACTGAGAATTCAGAAAAAAAGATTATATTTTTCAGTAACCAATAGTCGCAAAAATAAGAAAGTTACTTCCTGCAATTAGACAACATAACAACAATCTGAAATATAAGGAAAGAAAATCTAAATTACATTACATTATATCTTTAGTGTTCATGTCTCGCAAAAATTAGAGTTTATTAAAACTTTAAGGAAAATGCATAAGTACCCTTCTAGCCTATGCCCAAAATTTCTGAGACACACCTAATCTTTACTAAGGTCCTATTACCTCCGAACTTATTTTTTAATTAATTTTCTACCCTTTTTGGCCTACGTGACACTATCCTTGAAAAAATTGTCAACACGCGCTGGGCCCACAAGATAGTGTCACGTAGACCGAAAAGGGGTAGAAAATTATATATAAAATAAGTTCGGGGGTAATAGGACCTTAATAAAGGTTAGCTGTGTCTCAGGAATTTTGGGCATAGGTTGGAGGTACTTATGCATTTTCCCTTATTTTAAGTATATACTGCATTGATCTTTTGCTCAATTAACTTAGGCGTTCAACTTTGTTATTGGGAGTTATTAAATTAACAAAATGGTGGTCATAGAAGAAGTGGAAAAAAAAAAGCAGTAGAAGAATCTGATAATTTGCAACATCCGCTCTTATTTGTTGGCGACTCACATCTAATAGTTTAGCAAGTACATGTCAATAATGTTTTTCATCCCTATTATAGTTGATTCAATTTGGATGTCATTGGATTGAATTAGCTTTGATACATCCATTTTTCTTACTTACAGATGAATTGAATGCCATTAGATCAAATTAGTTTTGATATTTTATCTTTGCAACTTTTGCCAAACCTCCAAAGTCCTCAATTTAGCCAAAAGTAAGATACATGTTAAAAGTAGGAATAATTTATCATACAAACCGGGAGGGTAAGCCATTATGTTCAACTTCTATAACTTAAATGTTGGATCAAAAACAATATTGAATTGATCATACATTTTAGATCCACTAGTTTCTGGGCATGCTCTTTGCGCGTGTAACCCATTTTAATGAGTATTTTATTTCCTTAAAACTTAAATATTATTAAATAATATGATTTGAGTTCTTTTTATAAAATGTGTCTAATTGAGGTTTCTTACTCTGTCTCACTACTAATTGTGATACTCCAATTTCATGACCTCCAAGTGAATGCATCGAAATAATAATATGAGAAGTTAATAAAATAAACTTTATTTATAAATTAAAAAATGAGTTCATAAAGCAAAAGGGGAAAAAATGAAAGCTATCTAAAAATTTTAAAAAAGAATTATAGTATTAAAAGTTTTTTTTGTTGGTAGAATAGTGCTAGAAGATCAAAAGATTGCATGAGATTAATCCCCTTCAAACCATAGTGTAATATTAATATTTCTTCAATTAATTTTTTTTTATAGGAGATTATGTACTTTTTGTACCAAAAATGGTGTAAGTTTAACTTTGACCGAAAGGAAAAAAAAATTCTTTCAAGTGTTTTTAATTTGCCTTTTGAATCTCCCGGTAATTATAATGAATGTGTCCAAAATATCATATTAGATTTTTGCAAACACTTAAACTAATTATTTAATTATAAATATTAAAAATTAAGGTGTAAAAAGTATTATTATTTATATTTTGAAGATTAGAATATTTATGAACATAACTACTATTTTTATATAAAATTTAATTGTCTCTTCATATATAACTTATCCACTATTCATTTAATGTTATATGTTTCACCTTCTTCGTCTTTTTTCCAAAAAAAAAGAGAGTAAACATTCTATGACATTCATTCTTAAAGATGAAAGTTAATGTACATGTAAATTATGAAGCGTTGCAACTTTTATAAAGAGTTGCGACTTTTATGAAAGGCATAATACATAAATATGCCCTTTAACTTGGCTTCATATCACATTTATGTCCTTCAACTTTCGGTGTGCACAAGTAGACACTTAAATTTGCATAAATTTGAACAAATAGACACACATGTCCTACATGTCATTTTTTATCCTACGTGGTGTCCTATGTGTATTATGCCATGTAGGACTCATGTGTCTACTTGTTCAACTTTATACAAGTTTAAGTGCCTACTTGTGCATACCCAAAGTTGAAGGACATAAATGTAAAATGAGGCCAAGTTAAATGGCACATTTATGTATTATGCCTTTATGAAAAGTTGTGACTTTTATGAAAAGTTGTGACTTTTCCAAAGAATTGTGACATTTTCGATAAGGCACAATAAACATTTATTCACACTACCCTCTGTTGTCTATAAATAGAGGGATTTCCTCTCATTTTAAAACAACGAAAATTCTGAACTACTTCTTCTGCACAATTAAATATTCGTGTACTTTGCTCCTAGTGGCTCACTGACACCATTGTTTTTGTATCAATACACTGGTGAATAGAATCGTTCTATCTTGAGAGGATCTATTTCTTTAAACCTCGGGTACTAGATGAGAATAATTTCCTTATGGGGACAATGTGCGTGGGCTCGATTTTTTCCTTTCTATTTCATTCTATTGTTAAAGGTCCTGGTATGTTTTTTACGGTCATTAATTTATGCTTATGTTATTAAATGTTGTTTTTGAGTACATGTTTTAAACTTTATTGTTTATGTTTATGTTTTTGATCATTATGTTGAAGTAAAGATATGTTAATCAAGAGTTTGATGTAATCATTAGACTATTGGTGTCATGTAGATTAGAATTCTTAAATTTGTAAAATAAATGACTTTGATCTTTATAGAGTTTTCAGTGGCTAAAAGATCCATGGGATGTCCAAGAAGGGACTTTTGAGTGTTCAGAAGTTATAGTGGTTCCCCACTACTTGGAGTTTTAGTTATTCAACTTTCTATCTTATCGAGGCATTCAATCGATTAGTGACATCCAAAAAATAAAGGAATGTAGTGGGATGGTAAGTATTGTACTCAACCTTAACCAAAAGTTTGAGGTTCAAATGTTGGATTGGAGTCAATGAATTACCCCTCAAAATAGGATTAATCATATTAATCAAATATTAAAGAAATGATTATCTCCTTATAAACATTAGATTAAAAGTCACAAAAAAAGTTTTAACCATATTGATCGAAACATAAACAACAAAAAGTTTTAAGATATTATTATTTAATATTTAATTATTTGATTAAATTATTAATTTAGTGTAAGGTTAAATGATAAGTATATTAAAAAATTTATTAATGATTCTTTCATTGTCCTAAAAATAATTAAAATATTTTTATGTAATATTTAATTAATTAAATGTTTAATTGTGCCTAGAGGTGAAATGCTAATCTAATTTTTCATCTTTGAAGCTTCCCACTTTTAGTAATACTAGTTTTGGACACGTGCGTTACACATGTGTCCCATGCTAATTTATATAGAATCATTAGAATTAATGATAAATGTACTTTCTGATAGAACAAGAAAATTAAAAATAAAATATGCTAACAAATCACGTGAACATCCAATGAAACAAAAGTAGCAAAATATAAAGATAACAACAATGACCTACATATAAACTTGGTAACAATTCATATGTTCTTCAGAAAAAAAAAAAGATAAATTTTATTTTAGAAATAATTGAGTTAGTCAAAATTCTTACTGGTACAACAATTTCTTGTTCTGCTATCCAAGTCACTCCACCTTAAAATATGAATTACTACACGTTGAGTTTTGGATTGAAAACCCATCACAAATTCATATATGTGAGTTTTTTTTTTCATGAGTTTACATTAATACTCCCTCTGTCTCTAATTACTTGTCCACATTTTTTTTAGTTGTCCCTAATTACTTGTCCATTTTGACAGATCAAGAAAGGACAATGTTTTTACCTATTATACCCTCAATTAATTACTTTGAAAAAGGTTGAACTTTTTGAAAAATCTTAAGTTTTTAATTCATCCACTTCATAATTAATAGGGATAAAATGGTAAATTCACTATACCAATAATTATTTTCTTAATAAGTGTGTCAATTCAAAAGTGGATAAGTAATTAGGGACAGAGGGAGTAGTAAACAATAAATATATCAAGTTAGTTTAATTGGACTAACTTTTCAATTTCCCAAAATATTGTTACACTTTCAAAAAATGTGCATGTGCAGAAGTACTTACGAAAAATAATTTAATGAAGATAAATCAAATACTCCTTGTGAAAATAACAAGGAATGTGGAAGGTTGTGAAAAAATAATTAAATAGGTGAGAAGAAGAAAAAATTAAAATAATTAGCAGTAATAATTGAGGTAATTCATATTGTTATAAATGAAGTTTTTTAGAGGCAAAATATATGTGTAAGTTACATTACATATGCTCGTAATAGGTGAAAAAATCAAATTGACTTATTAAAGAAGAAATTGTTCAACTTCTCATTTATGTAAGAAGTTACAAAAGTACGTAATGGGCGAATAAATTAGTTTCACTCATTTAGGGAGAATTGAATGTGGAGGATTAAAATATGATTATTGTTGAGTTTTTTTTATTTACTCACAATCTATGTAATTCAAACATTACTATTTAATTTGATTTTAAGTCATCAAAGAAGGGCCGTAAATTTTGTATTGTGCTAAACTTGGATTTCAACCTTCAAGTAATTAAAATATGATTGTATAATATTTAATTAGATGTTTTATGATATTTTGATTTATTGCAATAGTGAACTTATAATTCGACGTTGATAATAAAAGCTAATACAATATGATATAATTAAATATAGGATAACTAATTCAGTCTTTAAAAAAGGAGTAAAAATGTCTAGCAACTTTCTATGGACATTTTCGTCTTTCAATTTTGAATTTAATACATATGATATGTTTTTTATTTAATATTCAATTAATTAGATGTTATATAGTAATTTTTTATTGAGTGGAGGGACAAAATGGTAATCCAACTTAAGGTTGGAACTTCTCACTTTTAATATATCATATGATATGATGATTACACCAACATACATGGCAAATAAATCCTAAATTTACATAGACAAATGAGAAAATGAACAGCAACTTGTGCACATACAATGAAGTCCTGGTCAATACGTTGTAAATCTGAGAGCTCGAAGGGCATAAAAGCTTCACAGTAAGGTTTCTCGTATCATGAGTGTAACGTACCCCCACCGTTAACAAATGAACTGGACTTTCCAGGATAGATCAACACCGTCTCATTCTTCATGGCATGCATTTTATGCCAAAGAGCTGCTTGACCAAATGGATCTCCACAGAGATTTCCAGCTCCATGGGACGCGCCTTGTGGTTCTTGATTTTACCAAACCTATAAAAATGAAAGGAAGTAGGACATCTGCATTTTGTTTTGCAGCTTATGATATCATGGTGCTTTGGTGAATTTTAAGTCTGAAAAAATTACAGTGATGTGATCTGAATCTCACATCAGAACAATGTATTTATAATAGCCTAGGAAAGCAAACTAAAAGGGAGGTGCAGCTAAATCTTCTTCTACCTTGTTATCCTTGCATCTCTTTAGCAGGAGGAACTGCCCTCGCAGGTGCAAAATCTGCAGTTACCCAGAAGAATATTCAGAAATCTTCCATTACACCTTGAACTTAGTCAATTGGTCAAAGATGCATAGCATAAGACATCAAACTCATTAAACGGCTGAATAACATGCAGAAGACAGAATTATGTGCCTTAGGTTTCACTACTGTGTATGAGATTATCAGTCGCATGTTCCTTCAGTTTGACTAGAAATGAATTATCAGTTAATCCCCCAGTAACATGATAACCTGCTTCAAGGGGAGAGCTTACTTCCATAAAGTACAGTGCAGGGAAATAGATATTTAACATGATATGTCATATATAAAAGAGTCCTGGTATGTATTTTTATAGTCATTAATTTATGCTTATGTTATTAAGGATAAATGATAAGATGTAATAATTTTCATTTTCCTTTGTCTATAAATAAAGGGATTTCCTCTCATTTTAAAACAACAAAAATTATGACCCTCTTCTTCTTCTTCTTCTTCACAATTAAATATTCATGTACTTTCCTCCTATTGAATGACTCATTGACACCATTGCTTATGTTACAAGTCCTGGTATGTATTTTTATAGTCATTAATTTATGCTTATGTTATTAAGGATAAATGATAAGATGTAATAATTTTCATTTTCCTTTGTCTATAAATAAAGGGATTTCCTCTCATTTTAAAACAACAAAAATTATGACCCTCTTCTTCTTCTTCTTCTTCACAATTAAATATTCATGTACTTTCCTCCTATTGAATGACTCATTGACACCATTGCTTATGTTACAAGTCCTGGTATGTATTTTTATAGTCATTAATTTATGCTTATGTTATTAAGGATAAATGATAAGATGTAATAATTTTCATTTTCCTTTACATTATTAATCTTTATTACTACGTAATATTGTATGTAAGATAATATAGTGTTTTAGTTTTAATGACCGATAGGTTTTAAGTATTATTTTATAACTTCCATGATATTAAATTCCTGCGTATTAAATTCTTGCGCGATCGAAGCGCGGGTAATTTTACTAGTTAATCTTATAAAGGAAAAAACAATAGGACCCATAGTAAGTACCTACGAATTAAAAAGGGGGTAGAAAGCTCTATTATAGGAATGAAGGTCTTTCCAAGTGCTCGCGTGAATTTCCAATAAAAATGACAACAAAATCAAAAGTCTCAAACCTAGCTAGTTGGGGTCGTTGTACAAATCCTCTCCATTTGGATTCTTTCATTACAATACTCTATTGTTAAGAGTAATCATAAAATTGACTAGCTTTCTGCTAACCGTTAACCTACTGCAACCTTCTTTTCTGGGCTTCCCAAGACAAAATAACAAATAGGGATCTTAAAACAGAAACGCAAATGTGATGGAGATAATGTACAATGGTACCTATTCTTGCAACAAAGGAGGCAGGTTTTCTGCTGAGACAAGGTTCTCTATCTCCTGCAAGACTTTCATATCTTTTATGTGAGACCATGTTTGTGGAGGTAATGCCAGCAACAGTGCTGTCAGCACATCGTTGCTTCCAGGGTGCATTGGTGAGCAACCATTTTGCCCCGAAGAACAGCAGCTAGTCTTTGCCTGAGATGTAGGGACCAGTACATCAACCCCCTGCTCCCCATTCCCATTCCCATTTACAACTGTCCCAGACACCACTGTAGCAGGATTGTCCCCCGTAGCTCTGTAGCATCTGACACATGTTTGGCGACAGCAAAACCTATCCGACAAACCAGACCTTCCTGCAAAAATGTCTGCTCCTTGGCAACAAATGCTCGCAGCAACATTGGTCAAACTGCTTTCCATTTCTGCTTTTAACTGATAGACAGAATCTTCTGAAAGTAAAAGGCTTGTGACGTGCTTATAAAGAGGAGTGTCCTGCACTTGTTTCAATACCTCTTCCTGCAGAGTAAGGTAAGAGTGCTTACTGAACTCATAAATAATGACCTATCCTGCAACCGTTATCCGATTAAAACTGGAGATGGGAATATGCAAAAGAATATGACCATTTCTGAAGCCTTTTTTAATTCAATTTACTAAAATTATCCAGATACCTAACCTTGATTGCTAGCCTTCCTTTCTCCTCTTCACTCAGCTTTTGACCATTCTCCTCTTGCCTTCGAACTTCTGCTACCCACTTTATGAATTCAGCAAAATTGGGAGGTAGATTTGAAAGAAGAGTAGAGAGAACATCTTTTATGTCCTTCACATTCTCAGAACTTAGGAGGACAGGAAGATCATCCATCAAATGCTTTGAGATAGAGACCCAACTCTCATGTTTACAACTCTGTAAGAGCACACTATTCAGAATGCATGAATAGTCACAGAAAGGAGAAAATCCAAGAGTATTTCGACAAAGTACATTCTTCCCTCTTTATAATAGAATATATCACATAACAAAGTACATATTAATTAGTTCTAAAGGACAATATTGTCAAAATCCATAAATATTGCAATGACATCATGGTTCTGAAGCAAAAGTTCAAGCTAATCTCCTGTCACTAAGACCAATTCCCAAGTATTTGACAAAGATGCCATCATTATGTTCTAGCATGTAATAAAATAGGTTAAAGAAGTGGTTTACAACAATCTGACCAAGCCGGTGTACTGAAAAGGATCAACTAGCAAAGGGACTAGCAGGCAGTAATAGGAGCTTGACTACATCCTTGTGTTACCAAAATTCCAATACCTTTAGCCACTAATGAAAACATTATTCAGCTAAACAAGAGGAAAATAAGAAAGCTTATGAGAGATTCAGATTTTGAATTGAATAGAAGTTGCTTGTTGTAGTTTATCCTAAGGAGTTTACTTATAAAACCAAGTGGTATAATACGAGCTACTTAAGCCTTACCAGGGTATATAGCAGTGCAGGAGCTCTATGAAGCTTAGAGACAAGCATAAACCTGAAAATTATGTGTTTGCACATAAGTCACTGAAATCCATGCTGCAAGTATGAGATGGAGTAAGAAGGACCGCTAAATTTGGACAGAAGAGGAATAGGAAAAGAAAAAAATGAAGAGAAAAAACAGTTATATTTGAAGAAGACCAGAAGCAGTGCTGAAACAGTTGAGCAATCAATTTCTTTGATTTCCAATTTTCATCTTTAATATAAGAGGGAAGACCAAATCACATAGTAAAACATCTTCCTCTACATATTTATATTCCTAAGCAAATGCTTAGAAATTATCAGTTGACAGCTAAAAAGCATGAATGAGACGCTGTTCAAGGTAAGGCGGATGTCAACAGCTTATAATGAAAATCAAGATATATCACACTGTAGCTATGTGGAATTATATACCCCCTATGTAATCCTGTAGCTTCATCAATTGTGTTCATGGCTTCCCAAAGGAGAGGGACGGGAACCCAGTGAGGGGGATATTTAAACCTTGCAACATCTAGAATCAGTGCCATATCCTTTTCCGCGTGATAACCACCAATAGGTGAAAAGTGGCCTGAACCTGTCTGCCATAAGATTCAGAAGAGATGTTCCAATCTTCAGGATAAGTCAAGAAGGGGTACTATAAACCTTCATAAATAAACAATTAGCAATATTACCAATAATATTCCTGAGGGACCAAACTCCCAATACAACAATATACTTCTTCACAATGATAAGCAGGAGCATAGAGAAGCTATGTTTATATTTACCTGTTTAAAAAGTCCTCGATGATTAGATGAGATCAGATGACAATCATCACTAGTTGTGCAGGCCATGATATGTTTACGGAAGTCATCAATGGTGCTAAGATTAGAGCGAAAAGCTTCCACCTTCGCTCCTGCACAGTGAGCCAAACATACCACTTTCCCAAAGGAGATCCCTTTAGCTTTAACCTTCTCCAATGGCTCACAGCAGTCCAACATGGATTCATCGAACCATCTCCAAGGCCCTGACAGTTTGTTGAAGCTGATAAGATAAAAGCAGCGACATTGTACGACACTAAAAACGAGCTCATTGACGTAAGCAGAATAGGACAAGGATATGACCAACCAAGTTTGAAAGAATAGAACGTGCAGCATCAAATAGTTTCAGGTGATGAAAGCTAAGAACGTAAAAGCTGTCCTCAATTCACTAAACTCCTTTTTTTCAACCTTTGACTCTTGAATATCAGTAGACAATAGTAACAAAGTATAACCCTGATATATAAAAGTGGCTAGGTTTCATGTTGAGTGCTAGATGATCTGAGAGTGATGTCAATGCATCACAACAAATCATATCAACTTACAACGCTCAGAGACAAGGCACCAACAACTCTGTGCTTATATTTTATAACTAACATGAGCAGGGGATAGGCAAAAATTATTGGAAAATACAAACATAAAGACATTTTCATCAAAGAAAATAAACATAAAACTTAAAAGGAGCCCAAGACCTTATTAACAATTCAGGAGATAAGGCCATGAAAAAGTGAAGATCACAATCATGAGGAAGGATAGGAACACAACTTCAGTAGATGATAGGTTATAGGAGAATTACCTTTCCATTTTCTTCCGGGATCAATAGCAAGGGCATTCAAGACCATGGAAAGGCTAGCCAAACCACAATATGCTGGCTCAGATTGTGTCTGAAAATAAGAGATCAACTTGAAAAATCCTTCCATTGTTCCATTCTGGATGGCCTCCAAAAAAAGTTGCTGCAGTTCCAAAAACAAGTGGAAATCAGTACAAAAAAATAAAAAGAAATAGCAGTAACTGAATAAACTAGAATATTGTCAGGCATTTTAGTATCTGGAAGTAAATGTCATCAACTCTGGACGATGAGCAAAGAATTGGTGTTGTTATGATAACAAATGGGCCAGTGAATAAATTGCATAAGAGCCTCAGGCAAAAGTAGCTCAACACCATTTAGGTGGCTGTGTTTGGGATCCAGGGTGATAAATAGTGCTCTGCGGGAGCAATTTGAGTATGTGAATATTGTTCAAGTGTCTGTATCTCCTCATCCCCGTTCTTTGTTCTTCTCACCCCCTTTCTTAAGGCCCGTCTGGAAATGCGATATGAAATCAAGTTGATATGAAGTTGAAGTTTTGTTTGGACATGCAATTTGGATTTCTTAAGTTGTATGTTTTTTCATAACCATCAAAATTTCTTCAATTCTTATACAATCTTACCATATGAGCAAACCATAGTTATTCTTTAATATAATCCTTTCACATGGTACGAACAATCACGCGGAGCATAAGTGTTTTCTTTTATTTTGCAAAATTTAAATCGATGGTCTTTTTAACAAAATTATAAACTTATGGATCAAATTTTACTTTTAGAAAAAATTGAAAACATGATTTTGAACCCTAAATCATGTTTCTTTGGAGAATTTACGAATTGAAGTCATTTCCAAACATCAATGACAAAAATTTAAAATGATGACTTCGTATCGCAATGCTTCTCATCTCCCTTCTCTGTTATCCTTTACTTTAGTTGGTGTTAAGCTTTTCATTGTTATAAACAGTTTTGAGCTTTCAATCAATGGAATTGGTTCCCTATTATTGAGCATTTAGAAGCTTTCACTTCAAATGTCTAAATCAACTAACAATAACCAAATAATCTGACATTTAACATATGTGCCAAAAATTACAGATTTAAAAGTCAACCTACCAAACCAAGTAGTAAATCAGCACCAGCTAGTCAACGGGTAATTGAAACAGAACGAAACATCATAAACCCTAATCTTCAAAAAGAAAAAAATGAGAAAACTTGCCTTTCCTTCATTAGAAGCGAAATCAATAGCCGGAGGAGATGGAAGAACTCGGCGATACAAACCCGCCATCGCCATTTTTCTCCGATCAAATTCTCCCCCAATAAATAGTACACTACAATCTCTTGTAATCCAAATTTTAATTCAAAAAGGGGAACGCCACTTGCCAATTTCCTATATTCGTTTTCTTTTCCAAAGGAATCAACTTTTGTTGTGTAGTCAATGATTTTCTCCACTTTCACCGTTTTTGTTCCTCTTATCACTTCAACATATACTCCCACTTGGCACCTAATTTTAAAAAAATTCAAATTAAAAATATATGTAATTTTAAAATTTTGTTGTAATGTCATAAAGGATATTAAAATTTGAAAAATTATTAAATACAACAAAAGTAATTCTAACTTAAGACACATGAATTGGAATAAAGGGAGCAACACTTTACATTGTATTCTCAAGTATATATTATATAAAGGGAAAAAAGACAAATATACGCTCAAACTATCGTAAATGGTATGCAGATATTCTCCATCATACTTTTGAGACATCGTTGCCTCTGTTGTCCAAAAACTAGAGCATATATGTCCTTCACTCTAACGGAAGACTAAATAGGAACACGTGTCACAATCTTATCTGTCGATCCGATATTCAATAAATGTCGGGTCGGTAGATAAAATATGGCACGTGTATTCCCGTTAGTATAAAGGTATATATGCTCTAGTTTTTGGACGGCATGGACATCAATGTCCCAAAAGTATGACGGAGGATATTTGCGTACCATTTATGATAGTTCGTGGGTATATTTGTCCTTTTTCCCTTGTATAAATATATTGCATTGGAGCTCCGACTAAATTTAAATCATGCATTGTAAGGTCTATTTGGGGTTGACGCTCCAACATGATTTTCTCTATATTCATGGCTTGAATCTGAAACTTCTGATTAAACGTGAAACAATCCCACAAATACATCACAACCCATATTGGTACTTACTTAGGTAGTTAATGTTAGAGAACACCTGCATAATTTTTTCAAAATAGAGCGAAGATATCAAATAAAAACTTTTATATGTGTTTAAATATTCAACCAAAATACATTATAGTTCAAATAGTAAAATACTAAATTTTATTAACAGGTTTAAACATCAAATTATCAAAAGAAAAAAGTTTTATTATTATTATTATTATTTCTTATTTGATGTTTGATATCGTATTAAAATTCTAACTAAATTCCAATTTGCATCGAAAAATCCATTTGCTAGTGGCGACCCAAAATAAAATAAAATTGTACGTACATATAGATAAATTGAAAATACTCTGGCAAGTAGCATAAATGAACAAAATAAGAAAGGAATAAAGAAGAACCACTTTGTTGTGGAAAAAGAGGAAAGATAAATATTCTATGGTTATGATATAAAAAGAAAAAAAAAAGTATTCTATGATTGATCAGTACACGATTCTCTGTCCTCATAGAAAAAGAAACGTTTATCACATTAAATATAAATTATCAATACTTCATGAAATTTATGTCGAATTTCTTACAAATCAGATCAATTTTAAATTGTTTGTTTTTTAATATAGGGCCAGAAGTTAGCATATAGTCATAATTTACCGTCAATTAAAGTGGAAACATATCGACAAAGGTAATTTGATTCATCAAAATACTAATTCAAATAGTTTTAATATTATACTTAGAAAAAAAGGTATTTTTGTAGAAATCTCATATATTTATGGATAATTACATCCTATTTTGAAAGTTTCTCCAATTATCAAAATTCAGAATTTTTCGTTGTTTTCGAATATATTCCTTAGTTGTTCGGTACATTACTTAATGAGAGAGATGTATTAGAGAGGAAATAGATGTATCCATAGGGATGGCAGTGCGCCCCCCATCTGCCCCGCCCCATTGTCATCCCTACGTATCCGAGATGAGATTTTTTGTTATTTTCTTAAATAATAGAGAATTTTAAAGATTATAATATCTTAAATTATGTATTTATGTAATTTTGCCTGAAAAAAATTACAACAAATGCATATTTATTAATCCAAGATATTATATGTTTAAAAATTCGTACAACATCATTTACAATCCAACTCGTAAATATCATTTTTCAAGAAAAATCTTATACCAAAAAAATTGAGAACTTAACTAATTAGTTATGTACGAATTTTTTACCAAACTAAGCCATTATTTAAATTAATTCATCAAAATAATACGTTTTTAATTTTTTTTTATAAAACTAGTATAAACGTATTTCTGAGTAACGTTTTAGGGTATTTTTATTTTAAAAATTCAACGGACAAAAACTGATGGAGCTGACGACATTAAATGAATAAACGTACTCGAGTAACGTTTTACACCTAAAACGTTACTCACGAGTACGTTTATTGAGAAGCAAATCACGGGCCACTGAATCCAATCCTGCAAATGCAAATGGAGTGACCAGTTGTGTTCAGTTGCCATCTTACATCTCTTTATTGTAGAATATTTATCGTAACATGCATGGAGGAGCAGTTGGAGTTGTCGCCCAGAGTAATCATAAATGTAAATGGAGACTTTTGTAAAGCAACAAGTTTTATTACTCATCGGAGAATTCACTGCGATTATTGATTTCATGTAACTATATTTATGGTATGAGATGAGTTTTATGTTGAGATTTATGGTATGAGATTTCATGAATGTGTATGAGATGAGATTTCATGATTTGTAGGGATTGCGTTTTCAGAATCAGGAGAAAGGACATCAAGACCAATTGGCCATTTGCATTTGCAGGATTAGATTCAGTGGCCCGTGATTGAATTCTCAATAAACGTACTCGTGAGTAATGTTTTAGGTGTAAAACATTACTCAAGAGTACGTTTATTCATTTAACGTCGTCAGCTCCGTCAGTTTTTGTCCGTTGAATTTTTAAAATAAAAATACCCTAAAACGTTACTCAGAAATACGTTTATACTAATTTTGTTAAAAAAATAAAAAAAATGTATTATTTGATGAATTGATTTAAATAATGGCTTAGTTTGGTCAAAAATTCAGTTATGTACCAATAATAAAAATATTAGGAACATACACATGCAAGAGCATTTTTTTCTAAATACAGGGTTCCAAATATCTTTATAAGCTACGCCCATATCTCAAGTCGCTTTCATATTATTTTTCAATATGCGACTTATACCTTTCACATATAAGAAGATATATTGTTTTCTCCCAACATAATATTATTTTTCCAAATAAATTGAATCGGGGATTCATACGCATGTAAATTACTATTTGAGATATCAACAAGGATTATATTAAAAATTTTATTATATTCATATAAAATCTTCACCATAATATCTAGAGTATAATAAGTAATAAACTTTCAAATATGCCACATTATATTCCCAAACATAAATATTTGCACCATTTGTAACTCTCCACCAGGGAGGGGCTGACCTCTCTCATGTGCTCGAACACTCATTTACTTCGTATCGGAATATATATATATATAGAAATTAAGAGGTATTTATAAAAAATTAACATAGAGCAGCCAACAAACAAATGGTCTAACTGGTTCAATGACTCTTGGTAGGTGCTTAAGGCTCTTTTTATGTTGTTGAGCCTGAGTTCGAATCTCACTTTTAACACATCTTTTTTATATTTTTGACTCAATTTGTCACTGCTCCACCTTAGTCATTTTTCTAATGATTTCCTAGTCTTACAAAAAAAAAACCTAGAATTTTGAATCAATATCTATAGATACACATACAAGGCATTCCCACGAAAATCCCTCTCACAAACATTCCCCTCCAAAAAATATACCCCTCAATTTACATGCATTATCACCATGGTACCCAATATATATTTAATCACAAAGCTGGTTAACTATATTCTGTAATCTATATATAAAATTACGAAGCTGATTAACTACGCTCAAACAGAGCTCCTATCAATTAATGGCAGAGGAGTGACATGACAAGAGGATAGAGAATAAGTAACATCTTCTCATTCAAGTAATTTATTAATTAAAGAATCAGTTATATGTACCTTTTTTCAGTTATATCTACCTTAAGTACATTTTGAAGTGTGCAACTTCCAAGTATCTTTATTTTTTTCACTTCCTATACAATACTAGCAAGCTTGTTACTTTCATGGTGATCATGCATGATGAAGCTTAAAACTTAGATTTTTTCTTTCGAAGTTTAACGAAATGATTTATTTAACCACCAAAGGTTACGTTGCAGCGGGATAGATAGAATCTTTGCATCCTTGATTAGAAATTCACGATATTGAGTATTGAAAATAGAAAAATTTCTAGTATGAAACACTTCTCTGTTCAATGGGTATTATGTGTTGCAAATTTGAAAAAGTCAGAATCCCAAAGCAGATACCATATATCAAATAAAAAAGATACTGATTCTTTGTGGCAATTGCATCTAATAAATCCTAATTATAGCCTTGAAAAATTCAAACCTGAAGCAATTTTGGGATATATGTTTTTCTTTGTGGAAAATTTAATATCCATGCACCTTTTGTTTTATACTAAAAGGTTGCTAATTTGCAAAACCTGTATAAATATATATCCATTCTTTTGTAGGAGCTAGCCTTTCTTGTACAAATAGCAAAGGCGAAGTATGCATTTGTATTCTGGACCCTTCTACTTAACTATTTGTCAATTGAATTCTTAAATTCAATGTAACTTAGCATTTTAAACCCCTTGGCTCTGCGTGTACTTCAAACTCTCAACAAAAATGACACATCATCATCCACGTCAGATTTAAAAATTACACATCATTTATTATTTATTTATTTTAAAAAAATCAATTGTGTTTTATTTAATAAAAAGTAAACAATAAAATTTAAATTTATTCCTTAAGCTAAAAAAGAAACCCAACATATTTCCAAAATAGATTAGGCAATAAGCTCTTCAACTTCTTCTGAACTTTGACAATGATGGCGCTTCTATGGAGGGAGATCAAGCTGCTGGTGCATTTCTTCCTCGGAGGGTGAGTCCCCATTTCCATCTTAAAACATACAAAATCTACTATTTTCCTTTCCTCCTCCTTCAACCATCACATAACTACCAACCTAAATCGCCACCGCAGATCTAGCCTAAAATCTCTTTGTTGTCGTAACTAAATCCTCCAACCCTCACCCGCCTCATTCTCCATTGACTAGCACCATCTCTCTCACTCTACTGCGAACTAGTTTTCTCCGACGAGCACCATCACCATCGACCTCTCCCACTAGCGGTGATTCAATGGACTCAAGGAGGTTTCAATGCCAAGATCTCTTAAAGATGATGAC